TCTTAAATGAATGTATCATAATATGAAAATTCGCACGATCTGTTGATGATTTTGATAAAATACGCATTCTAATCCATCGTTTGCTCAGACTACTCTTATACACACAATTTTGTTATATACAATTTTCTTTGTTATAAATTAAAAATGCATTTAGAATGTGCTTCATACAATCTATAAATTTTCACATCTTTGTCATTAACAAGCATCATATTTACAAATAATATATTACAAACAATTAAGCAAAAATCAGTTGTTGGATCGTAATAATCTACTCGTACGTATTTCTAGTGATTCATGTATAAATTTTGCTAACATGACAATATTTGACTTGTTTTTTAGATGACAACAATTGTGTAAATTTAAACATACTTGGCTTTGTTCTAAAAAAAGTTCTCGATATACTCTAGTCTAATAGAATGAAATGCAGGGCAATTTAAAACAAGTAAAATGGTTTCCTGCGGTGAACATTTTAATGATATAAAGATATTTCATTTAACTATTTTCAACAATATTTTTTTTTTGTGGGGGGGGGGGGGCGGGGAATAAATAAACGTTGTATCAAGAATATAGTTGACAATTGAATAAACGATCAATATAGAATAAGCTAGTTCTTTGGAAACTGATGACCGTTGAAGACCGGAGAAGGTCGAACATAAAACAATTATTTCTTTTTAAGAAAATGATTAAATAGGCCTACCATTTTATGAATAATTCCGAGCAAAAAAATAAATAAATTAAACACACAAGTTTACGCAGAAAATATCTCTATTTATTATGGCAGACGCCACTACGAATATTTTAACTTTGTAGATTTTCAGTATAAACAATTTATTGTTTGTAAAATTTGAGATAGATATTAAAGAAACATTGATAATTTTCAAACACATCATTCAAGCTTTTCCACCTTAAACGGTAATATAATTATAGAAAATTAGAAAAATAGTAATAGCTTTTGTTCTTAATTAGAGGTAATTCGGACTAATTCCCTACAGGTAAATCCGTAACGTACCGGCAAACGGTATTTAGCTAGGATTTCGAAAAGGTCAATTAACCAATCATGTACGATTTACAGATCACATGCTCCTCCATGTACCGAAAACAGGTCACGTGCTCCTCCATGCCTCAAAAGTTAAACGCGTACCAATACCCTGCGGTCTCCAGACCGCAGGGAACAAAATGGAAATCGTCCTCTATTTCATTTCCATTACATATTTGACATACTCTAAGATATCTCTCTAATCTATCTCTCCCATATCTGCCGGTCTGGATTCTTAGACTATGTGCGGATATACGCAACCTTGTTAATCCGATCTGTAAGTTACGAGATGCGATACTGTTTAAATAGGGTTCCATTTCTAATGTATCTTTTACATAGTTATACAAATTTAAAACCTCCATTTTGTTGATATAAGTTTGCCATGATTCTTGTGTAAATTCGTCTATCAAACGTTGCTTAGACATACTAAGAAACGCATAAGCAATAGGAAGGCTTACATTTCTAGTGCTTATAATTCCATTTATATAAAAATCCATACTTAGACGAAGTGTTTTTACATTTGTAAACCAATTGGATTTACCATTTAAACAATCAATTAAGTCCGACTTAACTATAGCCTTTATAATAACATTTTCACTATGGCTTAATTTGAGCCAGAATTTAACTTTACTGACATATCTTTTTATGTACAAGGGATATCTGCCTTACACTCCGTAAACAGCAGTATTACATGACGACTGTCTCACTCATAATAATGTCTTACAAAATTTAATATGTAAAGTTTCTAATTGTTTTGATTTCACAAAAACCCCATATTTCACATCAAAAGTTTATTGTAGACTTAGCAAACGAATAAAATAATTGTAAGGCTACTTTCGGCAGCGTATCGTGTTTCTTTACATTTGCTATGAGTGTACTCATTACCATACATATTTTGGGTATTTAATGAAAAATTGCCTGTATAATTAAAAGTAACACCTAAATAGCTAAAATCATTAACATTTTCAAGAATACATGAATTTTCACCGTAGAATCATTTTTCCCTATTTCTCAAGCCTCCCCGCTTTCTAAATACCATACACTTTGATTTATGTACATATACCTGTAGTCCCGAAGTATTACAATACTCATATAATCTATTTAGTGACGATTGCAAATCAGACGGATTTGTTGCTAGAATAACCATGTCGTCAGCGAATAGTAGTAATATGATACATAACTCATTTAACACAGTTTACTCAAGATCTTTAATAAGCAAGGTAACATAATCGGGGAAATTATCTCCCCTTGACGTAATCCCATTGCGATGTCGAAAAATCAGAATAATTCATTTTATCACATGAACGTATACACGGCTTCACAGATTGATACATACTTCTTATGATGCGTAGATATTTGTCGTTTAAACCCATATTATAAAGCTTATACCAAAGAGAATTTCTACATATAGAGTCAAAATAGCGTTACATATCAATAAAACAACAATACAAACGTTTATTTTCGTTAATAAACTTTTGTATCAATGAGTTCAACACAAACACTGCATCAATAGTGGACCGGCCTTTGCGGATCCCAAATTGAGCGTCAGATACACTATTATTGTTTTCGGACCACTTATATATATGCTCATTTAAAACAGATGTAAATAGTTTTCCTAAATTGCTTAACAAAGTAATTCCTCTATAATTTGTGACGTCATCTTTATCGCCCTTTTATGTAATGGTATTACGATGCCTTTTGTCCATGCAGCTGGGAAGTAACCAGTATTTAAAATTTTATTAAGCAATACAGTTATGTAACCGGACAAAATATCACATGCTTCTATAAAGTACTCATTTAGCAACTGGTCCTCACCAGCTGCTTTATGTTTGTTTAAACGTTTGATTGCATTGTGCACTTCTGTAAAAGTAATTTGTTCTCAGTCCATTTCAATACCAACTTAGGCATTTCAGTCCATCTTCACCCCCTAATCATCTTTTACGGCCTTTCCGTTCATATACGGAGTATCATACGCAATCCACGCTTTGAGCCCTGCTGTTCTCGCGTCTTTCATCTTAGGCAATAACTTCCGCTTTTTTGCTGCTACTTCCGGTTGGTATTGTTCCGTTATATAATAATTGGTATTTCTTAACTTGTTGCTTAACAATTTAACAATTTTTTTCTTTGTCCTTATAGAAAGTAAATTTACATACGATTCTTCTATACTCTTTAGCATTGCCCCGAACATCTATTCCTTTTTTCGCCTCTTTCAGTCGCCGGGGACTCCCATGCGGTGCACCCGGTCAATTTTTTAGATTAAGTGCAGTATCCTCAGTTATTTGTAAGTTATTTATTAGAAAGTTTCTGACAATTTTCTCAGTTTGAGCCGGGGGTTTCGTTCACAGATTCCTCTAGATTACCAATAATAAGATTGTTTCTCATACTTTGGCTTTAATGTAATTCAATTCACTTTTTATAGAGTCTTTTTCTCTCTCTAAGTCATTCATTCTTGCTCTTGCGTTCTCTTAGTCTGTTTCGGCCGACGAAATCCGATCATCAACCCGGTCTACCCTTTCTTGAGTAACTTTGGCTGTGTCGTTGATATGCAACATATTTTCTTCAATTCGAAGTCAATTTTTTCCACTTTCTATTCAACGTTATCCAGTTTATCAAGGCGTCTGCTCATTCAACAATTGTTAAATTCATTTTGCTAAGCATAGCTACAATATCCATTTGTCGCTCCAATCTGCGCGGTCGGTTCGTCGTGGACACTTTCAAATCCGAAAGCACCATGACCTACCCTCGCCCTCGTAGTTTTACTTCTGTCGTATTTCCTTTACGTCATTATCCTAACATTATGTTTTTAGGCGAGATTATGTTGAGAAGGTGTATATCTACAATATAAATTGTCGTTAGATATTATTTCCCGGCGCGAAGTGTGGTTTTAAAAATATTTAAAAGAGTTAACAATTCTTTAAAAAAAAAATGTTATTGTTTGATGTCATTTTTAAATCGTGAACTCCCCGATGAAGATTGTTTTTTTCATGTTTTTCTACCCAAAGAAACCTTTTATTTTGTCGGGGAAAAACCCCCCGTTCTTAAAAGAACTTCCTTATTTGTTATAACTTTAAATTTATTTCTGTAAACTAATATTGAAAAATTTAGATTTATTAGTCACCTGCTTTTAGAAAACTCATCATTTTTCATTAATTTTTTGCACAAATAAAAAAATATTTTAACCCCCCAAAATAAAAATTTAATTTTAAAGGGAAAAACTACGTGATTTGAAAAGCACTTGTGTATGATAAATGGTATGGTTTTTATTACTTGAAATTTGGGGCTGCGATGTTCTGGCATGTGTCCTCGTGTAAAAATATTTAAAATGTGAATTTTAATTTATTTAATTAAATTGATTTTAGGAAAATTAAAAACAGTCGTTAAAATTTTTGTTCTATAATAAAAAAATTTGTAATAATGTTAGGGTGCAAACTTATTAAAGTAAAAAATAAAAATTTATTAGGTATTTTTTATGATCATTTTTTAGTTTCGTTTTTTTAAGTTCATTTAAAAAAAATGTAAAATGTTAAAATTTTTATTTCTGTTTAGTCGTCCTTTGGGTTCTTTTTAATTTTTAACTTCGTCCTTAAGAAGGGGGCGTTCGAGGGTATGTTTTTTATCAAAAAAAATTGAATGAACCTTAAAAACCTATTGTTGCGTTTGAAAAGTTTCTGGTTCCTTTTTTTAAGCGACGAGACAAGAGTGTAAGTTTCATTCAAAGTGTATATGATGACCTGGAGTTAATGTCTGTAATATAAAAGTTTAATTTCCTGATCCATTGGTTAACCCCATGGATCTTCAACAAATTCACGCATAAACAAGCGTATGCGCACGAACACATGCTCATTCAAACGCAGGCACGTACACATGCTTCGATATATACATACAAATAAACACAATTCCTGCTTAACGCAAACACACGTACTTACCCGTTTGCATGTGTGTATCGTGTGGAGTGTTGTGTCATTAAGTTAATTTAAGTTAATTTGTTACATTTAGAATAAGAAGGATAGGAGACGAAAATCCAAGAAAACATGCAAGGAGTGCCTAACATTATTTGAATGCGCACACGTTGGATCATGACTTTAGTTATTTCTTCTAATTTTCATGACAGTTTTCTTCAGAGAATAAAAATAACCCCAGCAACTTTCCCAGATAATACCACGGCCAAAGTCAGTGTCGGCTCCGCCTAGATACATTCCATTTAGATGCGCGAAGTGACATGTATTGTACCACCATCCTCCACCATATATCTCTGCACAGTGGTATGAATAGGGGTCGTTGTCACTGTCTTTTGTTGAAAATTGCTGGTTGTTCTGGAAAGGCATCGAGTCACTGCATGAACCACTGTAACCCCCGATTGCCAATCGGTATTTATCGCTCTCGTCATTAATTTTGAAAGTGGAATATTCAGCATAAGCGGAGAAAGGGTCAACATTGTTTTGTTCGAACGTTTCGAGGTGTATGTATAATGCAGTGCTGTTGATTGTCATGTGGTAGATATTTTCAAGTCCGAACCAATATTCGCCAACTCTTTTCCCAAATCCATTCCTGTAGTCTTCCCAATTTCTGTAGAAATCTTCCGAGCCGTCTTGCCGGCGTTGTATAACCGTCCATCCTCCATTGGACATATCACATCACACATCAGTAGCAGTACCTCCAGTTGGTTTTATCACATAAACACCGTCTTCACTATAGTGCTTTTTATAAAGCGCAAGACAGTCAATCGGCTCTGGTTGTTCTTGTATTCTTTTGAACATTATGCCATCTTCCTGTGACAAAATAAATATAACTGTACAATCAAAATAAACAAAGAAACGAAAAGAATAACGCTTGATTGCGGTTATATATTACAACATGACTAAACTTATATTCTAAAATTTAACAGATTCATTTGTAGGTACTCAATTTAAAGGCCTATTTCTTATAGTGACTCATTTTAAGTGGTTAATTTTTATAGTATTCGGAACGGTATGACCCGAAATTTAAATGTGTCAGTCTCGCTGGTAAACACAAACAAAACAACACAACCAGTATGCTTGTCATATTATATTTTTTAACAAAAGCATTTTAATTTTTAATATCTAAGAACATTAAAAGATAAATCATACCAAAATTAGAAAAAAATGGATTTAATAGCTGTTCATTCCAGTGTAATAATTTTACGAATTTTATTTGCTTTTATTCTATTTGTTACGTTTTGATCTCTTGAATTTTAAGTCACAAATCGAGCAAAATTTATTTTCGACATATTCAATCATTGGGTTAACAAACATCTGTTTCTATTTCCTTTTTTAACTTAACTATAAAACTAATTTGCGAAACATGCAGCCTGCTCATATTAAACGTAACAGGAGTCATAGGTGTATTTGTGTATATTTGAGTAAAAAATGGAATATTGATAAAAGGATTTTGTGTTATTATTGATATCGTTGTGCTTGTTAACATTATCGTTGTTGTTAATAACATTATATTGTTATATTCTTTAGGGTCTTTAAATTGAAAACGAAATTTGGCCAATATTTAAATGAGTTGTAAATGATGACACAGACATGTCAGGATAATGGCAGAGTGGTTAACATTTTACCTGTAAAAACGAAGTGACAACCTTTGTTGTTCGAACCCCATAGTGAAGCGTGGTATCTTCTGTTTCATGTCCATGGGAGTTATCATCTATGCTGGAACTGCATAAGCATGCTGTATCTGTTTTGAAAAAGTGAAATGAAATAAATCCAGAATTGTCACAATGAAAAGTACATGACATAAGACTACCCTGTCGGGTCGTTGATGATGTAACAATGTTTTGTGAAACGTTTATTTTTCTCCAGAGTTTGTACACACCAATTTCATTTTTATTAAGTAGTATTTGATCCATGCTACACAAACAGATTGACGTTAAAAAGAAACAAGAAGCTGTTAGAAAGCAACGCATATTTCCTTTATTTCTTATACTTTTTTTTATAAATAAATGTCTTTATGTACTATATACTTTAGTTTCATCTGAAACATGGGCGACACTGATGAAAAATCTTACATTTTCAGTCCTTTAAAGCCTGGAAGAGCCTATTAACAAATGGAACATTATTAATAAAACATGACTCCCTTTTTACAAAGATTATCTGCCATCACTCCTGTCTAGTGTTTTTTGGGCACGGTAAACATTATAGCTAATTACACAGTATAAAAAGAAGGTAAGAATAAACAAGAATCCATACGAAAGTTGTTAATAAATGATAAGCATGACATCAGTAAGACACTTACACTTGAATAGATATATTAAACTTCAATGTTTAGAGATTGGACAATTTTACTAATTTGACAAATATCACCGTGCATATCCAGTAACGCAGGAATGTGCAATTTACGTAAAAGTAACGCAAAATCTGTGCAACGCTATAGCCAAAAATAATAACACAGTAAGTAAACAAACCAAAATATTTTATTCTAAATCAAATTCAAAGAAATGAATTAGCGCATACGGCTGCTACGACATAATACTTTAACCAGCATTACAATTTCTTTCAGCAATATGTTTATTTCTTTAGATCATTAGTGACAACCTGATTACCGTTTTGAATGTGACTTTTGTGCTGCGTCAAATATTATGTGCATTTAACACATTTAAAACATTCTATTTTGTATTCTGTATACCTAAAACATTTGTCAAACTAACAGTGTCATACATGTCGTATAACAATAGATGGAAGCTGGTAAAATAGGATTTAGCTACTTTCAGTGAGATTACCGCCGTTGCTTCAGTGCTCCATTCACGAATTCGGCGTTACTTCGTAAAAATGGTCTCAATTTCGTTTTAGCTGCAAACTTTAGTGTAATATAATACGAGTAGATTGGAAAATGTCTCAGGTACACCGCATATAAAAAAAAAACGTGAATATATATGTACGATATTGTATTTAAAGATATTGACGAAACTAAAAATAGCCATCAATACGCTAGTCGGGTCGTCATTTTCACGAACGATCTTAAAAATTAAGCATTTTCATGGAATAATTTTTGATGAGGTTTAAAGTATAAGGTCTCAGCAACCGTATGCGCTAACACATTTCTTCTAATTTAGTGTACAATAAAAAATATTGGTCTATTTACTTATCGCGGTTCTCCTTTTAGCCACTAAATTGCACGATTCTGCGTTACTTTTGCACATTTCCTATGTTATTTGCGCATTCCTGCGTTATTAGCTATACACGGTGCATATGATAAACACGTCTTTTAAGAATAAATGATTAAAGAAGAATTCGTAACACAAAGTTTTAAGTTTAGTTTTTAATTAATAAATAAGCTTTGCTCACATGAAGTATATACTTTTAAGCTGTGACTCCATCATCTATTTTCAATTGGTTCGTTCTGTTAATTGTTTTTTTTTCTTTTCAGGCACAAATTTAGTACGAAATGTGGCATGGGATGGATAATCACTATTGCCATACGAATATAAAATCGTATATGTTTTAAAATTGTCACCTAACATTATAAACAAAAGCATAACATATATATCATGAAAATTGTTTTGGCCCAAGCTACACGTGTAAATGGTAACTTGCATGTGTTATAAAATAGAAGTACAAATGTACTTAATGTACAGATGAAAGCGTATCTCATTACCAAGCATTTTAAAGATCAAACCATTTAAAGTCAAACCGGACACCTATATCCTTTAAATACAATTCCATTTACTATCAACATTGTTTCTCTGCTGTTATCATTAAAAAACAAGGTAATATGCAGTGTTTATTTGTTTATTGCTATTTTCATTACTGCCTTTAAAACGAAAAAAATGATGCAGTTGTTATAAAAGGAAGGTTTTTACTTGGGGATATTTTTTAAAATTTGTTTTTTAAAGGCAAATAAGAATTTTAAATTAATCCCGCGGGGGCTTTTCGTTTTGGGTTTTGGGGTTTTGTGCCCGGGGGGAAAGGGGGGAAAATGGGGTTTTTAGAACCTCCCAAAGAGGGCGGGTGGTTTGGAAACTGTTAAAAATTTTAAAAACAAATCCCAAATCGAAATTTTTTAAACGGGGGAAAAAATTTTTATTAAGGGGTTTAAAAGGGGCAGGGGAAAAAAAATTGCAAAAGGAAAAAGTTTTAAAAAAAAAGCTTTTTGGGGGCTCTTAAAAACCAAAAACGAAAATTAAAAATTTTTTTTAAAATTTATTTTGAACCTGAGAAAATTACAAATTACAAAGAAATAATCTCAGAAAAAAGTTGAAACTTGATTTTTTTGTTTATTATTATTATCATTATTATTATTATTATTATTATTATTATAATTATTATTATAACATAAATATGTGTTGAAAATTAAGCTAATTTCCTTTATTTTTAATTCGGGTACTTTTACCTGACATTTTTATTAAGAAAAAAACCCGAGGATTGTATTGATTTAAAACAAAAGACAGCAGTTAAAGTCAATATATTACAGTGTATTATTGGAGAAGAAAAGGACTAAGTTAAGAAGTGTTTTATGTGCTTTATATTGCTGCTGTTGTTGTTGTTGGTGGTGGTGGTGGTTCTGCTGCTATTGTAGTTTAGATAACAAATATTTAGTAAAAGAACATAATTATGTAATAAAGGTAACCATGACAATTAACACAGAAACCTCTTGCAATAAAGTATATGAAAATACAGGAAACAACAGAATCAAAAAATGTTATCCAGCTAGCTTACGGAACGTCAGTGGTTCTACTCAGGTGCCCATCCGTGCCTGAAATAATACACGGAAGGGCTCCTGAGGTCTTCCTCTACCAGTAAAGCTGGAACATCGCTATATGACCTATACTGTGTCGGTGTGACGTAAGACAGAATTATAATGATTAACAACATCACATAATTTAGTTATTTCTTTTTATTTTTATACAGTTTTTTTAGGGAATAATACCAACCAAGCGCACATAACCTGTTAATTTTTTTATAACTAATTCATTAATATGTGAATATTAAATACGGACGATATTACATAACAGAATACCATGTTTATCACCGTTACTTTGCTAATCTATTTCTGGGACAAAGTATAGATATACATGGTCAAAATATTATTACTCTCTCACACGTTTATGCATTTTCTTAACTTAGCGTCTAATGTATTGAACAGAACGGAATAAACTATAATTAATATACAGTATATTGCCTACAAACACTGAATATACAAAATAACATACAATATGTTAATGATTGATTTGTTACAATCAGTACTAGTACATTATTAACATCCCAAAATATATGTTTGGAGGGTGGAATTAATCCTCAAATCTTTAACAACATTTTTAGGATACTCAACGGTTGCTTAAAAACTTAGTACACATCGAGTACACTATTTCTGCTGATTGCTCCGAACCATTCTTAATTGAGAAAATCAATTACTTTCCTTTAGAAAAGATCAGCTGTAAATTTCTTAACCATCTATCAGCCTTAGTCATCTAAAAGTTTTTTGTTTTTTATTAAAAACGACTTACCAAATTGCTATACCCTATCAAACTATCTTGAACTGCCAGTTTATACAACTAGCTTATGATAATGTTTTAAGAATAAACTAATTTACATAAAAATGTTATCATTTTACATTAAAATATAGATGATATATTACTTTCAATATCCGTTTACAAAACTTTAAATGCAACCTTTCTTATTCCCTAGATTTGCTTATGCAATATAGATCACTGCTATAGTTAAAAAATGGCACATACCAATGCATCGACTAACTGATAAAGCACTTAATGGATTCTTTTACAATTATACAACAAAATATTCAACGTTCTAAGTGCTTTTTCAGATAAGTATGTATTGTGCAAAACAAACATACAATTCAAAGAAATTAAACGACTTAAATAATTAAAATTATCTATATTTTTACATCTATTCGATTAGAAGTCTTTTGTTCTTTTTTTTTTCAAATTTCCTCTCTTTCTAAAAGCCATGAGTTTTGTTTAAGTGCTTTAACGTTGAATTCCCCGTTAACATCAATATGCATGTAAAAGATCAAGATCGTGTTATAATTCGTCTGGTGTGGTTCCGAAAATTGCAATGGCATAGCTTCTTACTAGAGTAATTCACTTTTTATATTATCTTGTAAGAATAATATGATTACTAAGAACAATGAAACCGAAACTGGTGACAGTATCTCCCCTTGTTATGGATCTATTACATATTCAAAAACATAAGAAAAAGAACAAAAAATGTATAAATCAGGACAAACATTGTTCTAAAAACTCTAAGAACTTTCTCTTGCACACATTAACTATAAAATTTCATCCAACGCTATTGTGCTAGGAAACAAGCAAATTAGATTTTGGTTAGAATGACAAGATTCATCATCTCTATTGTTGTAATCCGCCGTGTCTATTTAGTATTGACTTTGAGAAAATGATGGTCAAATGTCTTGTATATAAAAGTTTTCATTAGATTGAAAAAAAAATATTTAAATAATTCAACAACGTTCCAAATCGATTTTTTTTCTAGCAACGTTTAAGGCAGCTACAGACTAAGAAGCCTATCTCTGCGCAATTTGGTGCTAATGGCTTTAAAAAAAAGAACAAAATCAGCAAGGAAAGGTGGCGCTCAATGAACGCGACTCCGAAACGATCCAGCAAAAGGAGCCCAGCAGGACCCTAAACAAAAACAGAACAGTCACGGATAGACTAATCACATTTGCGGATGTTTTTAAATTTAAAATGTCACAATTTTCGTGTGTAGATGTTGAATT